AGATAAATGGAAGCAACTGAAGTGCCCATCAACTGATGAGTGGATAAGCAAATTGTAGTACATACATAACAGTGGAATACTACACAACCATAAAGAACAGTAATGACTCCATGAAACATAGTATAACATGGACGGACCGGGAGAGCATAATGCTAAGTGAAATAAGCATATAAGGACAAATATTGTATGATCCTTTTTTATAAGAAGACAAGAATAGATATATATAGAAAAATGAATGTTCATTGATGGTTACGGGGGGGGAAGGCAAAGTATGCTTTAGATAATGGAGACTTGTTACTTTTGGTGGTGGGAAAAGTGGCACCAAATGAGTATAGTGAGCACAGCACAACTAAAATAAAAATGAGTGTTCGAGCACATGTGGATGGGTATAGGCATTTCATATATGGGTAGATACAGGTGTGTACATAGGCGAGAAGAAATAGAAGTATCTGTAGGTACATGTAAATACAAATATGTGGGTGCAGACATATATATTCATTGAAGACACAAATACAGATACTCTTCAGTCATAACCAAACACCTTCCAAGACTGGTTTTCTCGTTTTGAAAGCTTAGGACCATAGTCTCATGGGACAAGTCAGTCAGTTGGCATAACATAGTTCACAGAAATCATGATCTGTATCCTAATGAAGTACGTGATGTCTGGAGTCTTTAAAAACTTGTGAGTGGCCATCTAAGCAAAAGTGCGGGTCTCAGCTCACCAGGAGCAAAACAGTAAAGAAGGTAACCAAAAGCTCAGAGAAGAAAGAAGTCTAGAAGAGCCTTGACCTCATTTATCCAGAGACCAGAAGAACTAGATGGTACCCAGCTACCACCATTGACTCTTCTGACGGAGGTCACAGTAAATGGTTCTGGATAGAATGGGAGAAATATGTGGAGCAGAACTCAGATTCTTTAAAAAAAAAGCCAGAAAAACTGGAATAGTAGAGAACAGAGGACTCCATAAGACTATCGCCCTCAGATGCTCTTTAGTTAAACCTAGAACCAAGCCCTCTCCCCTGAAATCACCTTTTAGCAAAATAGCAGAGTAGCACACAGAATAAAGAATGTTACCTTCAATGAGATGGATTGACACAGTGGCTGCAGTGGTGGGCTCAAGCATAGCAACAATTGTGAGGGTGGCACAGGACTGTGCAGTGTTTCGATCTGTTGTACATAAGGCTGCTCTGAGTTGGAACCAACTCGACAGCACCTAACAACAACCTGTAAGATTGGTGCTCTACTTAAAAACCATCTGTTATGACACCAAAAGATCAACAGTTACTCGAAAGCAAAGATGAGAAGATGAGGATACAGGGAAACTAGAGTACTGGAAATGGAACAAACAGAACACAAAGACACTGTTGACACATTGTGATAAATGATAACTAATGTCACTGAACAGTTTGTGTGGAAATTGTCAAATGGGAGCCTAACTTATTGTGTAAACTTTCACCAAAAATTAAATTTTTTTTTTTTTAAAAAGAACTGCATCCTATCACTAAAGGACATTTCCCCTTACCAACCGTACTATTCTTCTGTACATGTCTAGCCTTTCCTATTCAGTCAGCACGTTTGCATATTCCCACCCCACTATCCATCCTGTATCCCTCCCACCACCCATGAAATGATCTGTCTACCCACCTATTACTCTCTCTCAGTATATTGTTGGTATTTGTACTCCCACAGTAGCTCATGCATTCCTTGATTATAGCATCTGATGCCATCTTTCCATAGTTTATGTGTTCTGTAACTGAATTTCTTGAGAGCGAGCCCGTTGTCTTTGTATCCATGATACCTAACACATTACTTGAGCATGAGCCGGCTATAAATGTTTGTTGAATGAATTGTGTGGTAGATGTATATCTGCCTGCTTATGTTAAACAATTTGTGAGAATTGGGGTGATGAATACCTTTGTGAGAAAGAAAGGGTCATATATAAAGATACCTAATAAATTCAAATAAAATGTACTTCCTTTTTTGTTCACTATTAGAGTTTATAGAGTACGAATGGGATCAGGAAAAGTAGATACGTTTGTTTTTAATTGTACTGTCTTACTGAATTTTTTTTGTTTTTATTTTTATGGTTTTATATTATAAATGCTTTCCAGTTTTGTTTATACAGTGTTTTATTGTCCTCTGCTATTTTGAGGTAAATAGATTATAGTTCAAATGAAAATAACCACTGTAAAATGGTGGTAAAGAAAATACTGATGTATTATGAAGTATATCCATTCATAATAATGTGGTAGTGCACGTAAGTTATTTTTCATCTGATGGAACTATCCTTTGAATTAAGTTTTCATCCCTTACCCTTATAATCAAGGCTTTTATTTTCTGATCCTAGCTTCTCTCTCCCCCCATCTTATCTCTTCAATTTTATTTTCTTCTCTTCCCTTACATTCTTTTTTTCTAAAAATTTCTATGTTTTATTTACATTGTAAACTCAGAATCACGTATCTGTATGCCTATTTTCTTTTTGTTGTTTCACTTAACATGCGAGGTGTGTTAAAGACTGCAAATAAATATTTACTAAGTCTGTTACATAGGGGCTGCTTTGAATAGAATTCATCTTCCCTTTTTTCATAAAATAAATAAACCCTGAATATATTTTGAGACTGCTAGTAGTTAGTACCTACCCTTCTTCAAAAATCAGTGCATTTAGCAACAGCATTTATTCTATATGCTACATTAAACAATTTCAGCTGCAGCTGGCTAAAGCATGCCATTTATGCTTTTCCTTTTTGAGATTAGTTTTCAAAAACATTTAGATCTATACTTAAAAGACAATGCCTTATTTAAAAAATTGTGCTGTAATTTTCCTTCCATTGTCTGAAAACATGCGTTTATATATAAAAGTAGATACACACGCACACACGCCCACACACGCACGCACACACCATGTTTACCAGCTGGTGGTGCAATGGTTAAATGCTCAGCTGCTAACCAAAGAGTTGGCGGTTTAAATCTACTCAACAGCTCTTTGGGAGAAACACCTGGCATTCTGCTTCCGTAAAGATTACAGCCAAAAAGCAATCTGTTGGGTTAGCACCTGGGATTCTAGTTATCTTTGAGGTAGTGACGAAGGGGGACCTGCTCATGCAGAGCAGCAAGTTTCTCTTTCTTGGTTTGGATTCTTGTTACGTGTGTTCAATTTATGAAAAATCCACTGAACTATACAGTTGTGTTTTATGGATTTTTGTTGGTACTTTACACTTTAATTTTTAAAAAACCCAGAAACCACACACACACACACCCATACACATACACAAATTACAGCCAAGAAAACCCTGTGAGGCAGTTTTACTCTGTCACATGGGGTCGCTATGAATCAGAATCAATTTGATGGCACCCAACAGCAACAACATGTGGGTGTTTTGCATTGTGATACTAAATCAAGATATTAACATGAGTAGAAGGTTGTTGAATATAAGAACCACTAAAAGTAATTATCCTTCTGGTGACTGTGGAAACTATATTTTGTTTGGATATCATTTAATGCTATACATCCTTAATGCCATATGAATTTTGCCATTTTGACACAAGTATGCTGTGGTCCTGCCATTTCACTAGAGTCGTTTATTCCATTCATTTTAATTTTTGTTATGAATTTCACTGATGGAGGAACTTCTGGATGTTTAGCTCCACATTCTGTTTCCAGGCTATATATTCCATTTCCGTAATTTGCCTTTGGACCAATAATCATGCTTGCTTATATTGTAAGTGTCATATTTTCATCATTGTCAAGGCCCCAGCTAACTATACCATCGCTCACTTTTTTTGGTCTTTATATTCTTTTAGGAAACTCTGGTGGCATAGTGGTTAAGTGCTACGGCTGCTAACCAAAAGGTCGGCAGTTTGAATCCCCACGCCCTCCTTGGAAACTCTCTGGGGCAGTTCTGCTCTGTCCTGTAGGGTCACTGTGAGTCAGAATTGACTCGATGGTGATGGGTTGGTTTGTTTGTTTTTTGGTAGAGTCTCCTAACAAGCGAATATTATAGGGAACTTTAATTCTTGTGGAGATGACCATCTTCTCCTACATTCTTGGACATTACCCTACACACACTCATTCGCTTATCTCCATTGCTGTTGAGTCGATTCCGACTCACAGCAACCCTATAGGACAAAGTAGAACTGCCTCATAGGATTTCCAAGGTTGTAAATCTTTATGGAAGCAGACTGCCACATCTTCCTCCTTGGGAGCACCTGCTGGATTCGAACTGCCAACCTTTTGGTTAGCAGCCAAATGCTTAACCACTGCACCACCAGGGTCCCTTCCTTCCCTTATATTCTAACCTATATAAGATTCCTTACTGCTTCTGGAACAAACCTTATTCTGTATCCATACATTTAGTCACGATCTTGCACACTTAGCTAAGAATGCCCTGTCTCCAATGCTCAAAATTGTACCTGTTTTTTAAGGCCATATCATATACCGTCTTCCTTCATGAATTCTTCACTGATGCTCAGCAGTTAGATTTGATGTCTCTTTCAAAAGCCATACAGTTCATATCTCTCAAGGCATTTACAGTTTTGTGCCTTGAATTATAGCTATCCCTTGTCTTCCTTCAGCCACATGGAAGTTTCTTTAATAACAGAGTTGGTGTTCAGTCATCTTTGTACCCTCTGTAGTGTCAGACACAGAGGGTATATTTATTGAATTAATAATGTCTGCAAGAACTTTTAATATATCATATTTAGTGATTAGTATTAGAATCAAGAAGTTTCCTCAGGCTTGTGAGAATTAAATGTATATGTAAGTTACAAAGTATTTTGTAAGGTTCCGGGGTTTGCATACCATTTGGATTTTGTGCTGATTGAAAGTATACTTGACCCTGAAACAGTAGGGATATTGCTAATTGATAGGAATAAAAACTATAACAAAAAGTGTACTGACTGTTTAATGAGAAACTATTTGTTCTGTAAACCTTCATCTAAAGTACAATTTTAAAAAAATTTTTAAAAAAAGTGGACTGATCAGAATCTCTTGTTATTTTTAGAGCTTGTTTAATAAGTTAGTAGAACTCACTGAAGAAGCTAGGAAAGCATATAAAGATATGGTTGCAGCAATGGAACAAGAGCAGGCTGAGGAAGCCTTAAAGAATGTGAAGAAGGTGCCACACCACATGGGACATTCCCGGAATCCTTCTGCAGCAAGCGCCATTTCTTTCTGCAGTGTTATTTCTGAACCCATCTCTGAAGTAAATGAAAAGGAATATGGTAAGTTGTTACATACCATTTTAAATGGATGACTTTCCGTGCCACCTTTTGTTTTTATCTTTATTCTTGATTATCAGATTTTGTTTAAAAAAGTTGCATTAAACATGTCTATTCAAAATTAGGAGAATATTTGGGACTGAGTCTTTCTGTGACACTCTGGAATTTGATCACAGTTCCAAACTCTAAAAAAGAGAAAAAGCTCAAGGAGATTTAAAAACAGTGCACCATACCTACAACCTGTAACTTAAGTAAATCCTGTGTTGTTGTAGTTTTATCCTATTATTTTACACTCAGTTATTAAAATTTTGTATTAACTAAGTACACTTAAGTCCATAATACTATTCAATCTAAGCTTATAAAATCTAGACATGTGGCATTTGATTGTTGTCAAAAAGAAATATATATAAAATAGTATTTCTTTTTAATGTTTAAAATAACATTATTTACTGCACCCTGTATCTTAAAATTCCCTTGCCTTGTTTCTGTAATACTTAGAACTGTTAAGTTCTTTTCTTGATTTAGTTTCTGATTTTTTTTCTCAAAAAACAGTTGCCTCCTTCAGCTTGGTCCCTTGTTCTTCCTTTTCTCTTTTTAATCTATCTAGGAGTTTACCAAATAGCTTGTTGCCACCTGAAATTTAGAATACTGAGTCCGTCATTTCTTTCTCCTCGCATTTCCTTTCCTGGTCTCTCAGTCTGTGATTGAGGTTAAATGTTTGGGATACTTTTGATAAAGCTCCAGACCAGAGGAAATTAAACAGTTATTGTGGACCTTTAGAAAACTATTGGTTATGGGTAGGTGGTACTGGCTTAGAAGTTCTTTCTTCTGCTGGCGTGATGTTATTTGCAAATAATGAAGTTACAGTGCTGACTTTGTAAGACCAGTTCTTTATATAGTGAAATGCCAAATCCCATAGAGAAACTGCATGATGAATTCTTAAAGTTATGGGTGAACAAATGGCAAATTGACAAATGATTTTTATCAGGGCAACAATAAAGGCAAGTTTTATAAAAGAAACTCAAAAATTTAGGAGGTGTTTGCAAAAAGCACAAGATTTAAGTGTTAAAAGATTGGCGTTTTGACTTTTTTACACTCTACCTAAGGGAATTAGGCATGGTTGATTAATCTCTAGGCCTCAGACTTCTTTTCAGTAAAATGAAGAGGGTTGATCTAGGTCATCTATAAGGTTCCATTCAGAGCTGAAATCCTGTGAACTGATGGTTGAATCCTAGAGAGGGCACTAGGCAGAACCCTATAGATTTTGACCTGATGAGCTGATTGATCAGAATGCCAATGAAATGGGCAGAAGTAATCATAAATAACATCAGGAGCAAAGCTAAAGTTACTCTATCTGTATCAGATGCATTCAGCTAGAAACATAAAACCCCCTAATTGTGGCCAAAGAAATTGGGATATTTAATTATTTCTCATATGGAATCTGGAGGTAAGTGGTTCAGGACTGGTTCCGTAGCTCAGCAGTGTCACCAGGGATCCTGCCTCTTTCCTTTCTCTCTTCCGTTCTCGGTCTGTGGCCTCTTGTTCTTGTGCCCATCATCTCATGTTTAGGAGTGACTGCTGCAGCTCTGTACATCACAGCTACAGTTACAAGCAGAAGGTTCAGGCAGTGCACTCCTTTTAGCAGTGAAAGAAAAGGTTTTCAGAAGACTTCCCCTTTTGTTTCATTGGCCAGAACTGATCACAGGAGACACAGAAAAGAGTATTTGGCAAAAGTGGTAAGGGATATCCATGATAGGCTAAGAACTATTATTTTAATTCATTCTCTGGGACTGGGAGTTCTGTTAGCAAGGAGGAAAATGGGGAATGACGGATAGACAACAAACAGCATCTGCTATACCATCCTTTTGCACAATTTCTAAAATGTTTTCTTTTGATTTCTGCAGTTTAAAGAAAAACAAAGCTGGGGAGCCCCATTCCCCATTGCTGTTAGTCAGTTCTGAATCATAGCAACCCTATATGACAGAGTAGAACTGTGCCATAGGATTTCCAAGGCTGTAATCTTTACAGAAGCAGACTTCCACATCTTTCTCCCGCAGAGCAGCTGGTGGGTTCTAACAGCCAACCTTCAGTTAGCAGCCAAGCACTTAACCACTGTGCCACTAGGGCTTCTTAAAGCTGGGGAAGGGGCTACTAGACATTGATAGCATAGAAAGGCTCCTATTGATAATTCAGCCTTATTGCCCTTTGTGTACATCTTGTTTGTTTCTTTGCTTTTTTCCTTTCCACCTGAGCTGACTCTCCATTCTGTCACACTTACATGAAACAACTGGTTTTGAACATAAATCCCAACTAACCTGTAAGTTCTTTGAGGATAGGACCTTGGCACATAATGGACAGTTGATAAATAATAACTTACTAAGCTCTTTATTAGAAGCGTCCTGGTGGCATTGTGGTTAAGTCCTTGGTTGCTAACCGAAAGGTCTGTGGTTTGAACCCACCAGCTGCTCTACAGGAGAAAGATGTGGCATTCTGCTCCCGTAACGATTTACATCCTTGGAAACCCTATGAGGCAGTTCTCCTCTGACCTACAGGGTTGCTCTCAATTGGAATCAACTTGACAGCAGTGGGTTTGATTTGGTTTTTTGGAAGCTCTTGTTATGTGCTGTGTACTTTTCTAAGCACTTCACATTATTGTTATTTAATTCTCCCAACAACCCTATAAGATAAGAAATACTATACCCCATTTTATAGATGCAGAAGCTAAGGAAAAGAGAGGTAAATAATTTGACCTGTTGCAGAGCTGGTAACTCTGACTCCAGAACTATACTCTTAACCAGTATGGTGTGTATTGCCTGTCTGTTGAATGAATTTCCAGAAAGACCATGCAGTAGATATTCAGTCACCACTTGTGTGGGGAGGACAGCCTCACTGTCTGGCCCATCTATCCTGAGTTTCCTGCCCATTCCCTGCTGCCACTCCTTCCTCTGTAGGCTCTTGAACACCTTTGTCTATTCCTCTACTGTATACCACCAACTTTACTGACTGAAGGGAGAAACACACCCTGCTTCCTCTGACAAACCCACTAGTGACTTGAAAGTTAAAAAAGACAATTTCACAAAGAAGTAATAAAACAAGAAAGCCTAGAAAGGATTAACTAGCAAGGTAGAGCTTTACTGAATAAATTCTGCTAAAATAAACCAGAATGTGATTTCCAGGCTTGTTGAGACCTTTGATCCTGCCTTTAACCTCCTTCCTAGTCCCTTCTTCAAAAGTGGTCTTCTAGATGTTCTGTTCTAGTTTCAGACTGCCTGCACTTCAGCCTTCAGCGCCCTGCTAGTTTTCTCCTGTCCTGTAGAGAAAGATGGCCTTTTCGTACCTGCTCTGTTTCTCCCAGTTGTGTTCGTGTGTGTGTGTGTGTGTGTGTGTGTGTGTGTGTGTTCTTCAGCTGTTATCAAGCTTCACCTATTGCTTTAAGATGGGAGCCTCAGCCTGCACCTCTTTGTGGATACATGCCCTTAGTGGCTGTTTGATCATTATGATAGGTCTCTTGATGGTTTAACCCAGATCTCTTGTCTCTGCTTTTAAGGTATATCCCCCTTTCTTTTCTGAAGGACCAATCTGACTTTAAGCTCACCTACAGAGTAGATGACTGCCTGATACTCAGCCTGCTCATTTTACTGATCTCCTTCCTTTTTCCTTTTCCTTTAGCTCATTGCTCTGGTATTGTCAAGGGAGGGATGAGACTTTGTCTAAACCCCATAAGTGAATTCTTGCAGTACTTTTGAAGGGGTAAAAGACTGTTGGAAGAAAATGTAAATGTATGTCTAAATATTTTTAAAATTTTTATGCCTTTTCAAGATTATTTTTTAGATAATTAGGTATATGTGTGAAATATTTAGTAGCCACCCCCACCCCCATACTTACTATATGCCAAGCATAGGGACACAGATGAGCTGGAACTGGAGTGGGAGGCATGAAGGGTTGGAACAGCAAACATAAAAATAAGTGCATTTGAAGTACATATGCAGAATGTGCTGTGGGAGTCCACGTTAGTGAATGCCTCTCTTTGGAAAGTCAGGAAAGGCTTCACAAAGGAACTGACATTTAAGGGTGGTTCTCAAGGATGCGGCATCTGGATTGGAGAAAAATTGATTAGCAGCCTGCCATATGCAGGTGATACGACCTTGCTTGAAACATTGATGAAGGTAAAAGAGTACAGCCTTCAATATGGATTACACCTGAACATAAAATCATAAAATGAATTCTCACAACTGGACCAGTAAACAACATCGTGATAAATGGCAAAGAAATTGAAGTTGTCAGGGGTTTCATTCTACTTAGATCAACATTCAGTGTCCATGGAAACAGCAGTCAAGAAATCAAGCGACATAATGCATTAGGGAAATCTACTGCAAAAGACCTCTTTAAAGTGTTAGAATGCAAGATGTTATTTTGATGACTAGGGTGTGCCTGACCCAAGCCATGGTCTTTTCAGTCGCTTCATATGCATGTGAAAGCTGGACAATGAAAAAGGAAGACCAAAGAAGAATTGACACATTTAAATTGTGATGGTGGCAAAGAATATTGAATATACCATGGACTGCCAGAAGAACGAATACATCTGTCTTGGAAGAAGTACAGCCGGAATGCTCCTCAGAAGTGATGATGGTGAAACTTCACCTTGGTTACTTTGGACACGTCATCAGAAAAAACCAATCCCTAGAAAAGGACGACATATTTGGTAAAGTGGAGGTTGAGCGATAACAAGGAAATCCTCCATGAGATGGATTGACACAGTGATTGCAGCAGTAGACTCAAACATGCCAACGGTTTTGAAGATGGCACAGGACTCGACAGTGGTTTGTTCTGTTATACATAAGGTCACTTTGAGTTGGAGCCAACTCGATGGCAACTAACAACAACAACAATCAAGGTTGTGTTAGGAGTATGAAGGATGAAGGAGGCAAACACATCACATACAGATAGAACAGCTTATGCAGAGGCAAGGAGTTGTAAGTAGAAAGTGTAGAATTCTGGGAGCGGTGAGAATTCAGTGTGATGATGAGCATGGAATGCGTGTTTGAGAATTGGAAAGCATTGAGACCAGAAAGGTAGATGAGGGTCAGATCATGAGGGGATTGATTGTGCCAAGCTAAGGAGTTTGGATTATGCCCTATGGTAATGGAAAACCAGTTAAATGGACATGATGTGACCACTTGCAAGACCATTGAGGAAGATATTGCAAATGTATAGCAAGATAAGGCCTGAGCTAAGTAGTGATGGGAATGGGGAGAAGGGACCAAATTTAGTAGTTTTTGAGCTGGAAGTGACATAGTGTAGTGAGGAGTTCAGTGGGATGAAGGGGTGTAGTAAAGGAGAAAGATACGATTAAGGATTACTACAAGGTTACTTCTGTTTTGAAGCTGTGTAAATGATAATGGCACTAACTGAGAATGAGAATATAGGAGGAGTAGATTTTGATTCATGAGTTGGAGTGAGAGTGGGGAGGGTCCATTTTCCATTTGAAGTAGCTGCAGGAAGGAAAGGTTTTTTCGAACCCTGGGCCTAGATTTCAAGTACCCAAAATATGGTCAGTATTAGTATATGATCACCGTTCAACCATTTCAGGAGGTAGCATAGGTCCAGAACCAGTGGTACTGAAGGGAGAAGTCCAAGCTTTACTGAAGGCACTGGCGAAAAACAGAGCTCCAGGAATTGATGGAATACCAATTGAGATGTTACAACAAAGATACAGCATTGGAGATGCGTACTCATCTATGCCAAGAAATTTGGAAGACAGCTGCCTGGCCAACCAACTGTAAGAGATATATATTTGTGCCCATTCCAAGAAAGGTGATCAACAGAATGTGAAAATTATTGAATAATATCACACGCAAGTAAAATTTTACTGAAGAAATTTAAAAACAGCAGTACATTGACAGGGAACTGCCAGAAATTCAGGCCGGATTCAGAGGAGGCTGTGGATCGAGGGATATCATTGCTGATATCAGACAGATCTTGGCTGAAAGCAGAGAATACCAGTAAGAGGTTTACCAGTGTTTTACTGACTATGCAAAGGCATTCGACTGTGTGGGTCATAACAAATTATGGATAACATTGCAGAGGATGGAAATTCCAGAACACTTCATTCTGCCCATGTGGAACCTGTACATAGACCAAGAGGCAGTCATTTGAACAGAAGAAGGGGATACTGTGTGGTTTAAAATCAAAAGGTGTGCATCAGGGTTGTGTCCTTTCACCATTCTTATTCAGTCTGTATGCTGAGCAAATAATCTGAGAAGCTGGACTGTATAAAGAAGAATGTGCCTCAGGATTGGTGGATGACTCATTAACAACCTGTGATATGCCGATGACACAGCCTTGCTTGCTGGAAGCGAAGAGGGCTTGAAGCACTTACTGATGAAGATCAAAGACTAGCCATCTGTATGGATTAAACCTCCACACAAAGAAAACAAAAATCCTCAACTGAACCAATAAGCAACATCATGATAAACGGAGAAAATACTGAAGTTGTCAAGAATTTCATTTTACTTGGATCCACAGTCAACACCCGTGGGAAGCAGCAGTTAAGAAATCAAATGATGTATTGCATTGGGCAAATCTGCTGCAGAAGGCCTCTTTAAAGTATTAAAAAGCAAAGGTGTCACTTTGAGGACTAAGGTGCACCTGACCCAAGCCGTGGTATTTTCAGTCGCCTTGTATGCATGCGAAAGTTGGACAGTGAATAGGGAAGACCAAAGAAGAATTGATGCCTTTGAATTATAGTGTTGGGGAAGAATATCCAATATACCTTGGACTGCTAGAAGAACGAACAAGTCTGCCTTGGAAGAAATACGGCCAGAGTGCTCCTTGGAAGCGAGGATGGTGAGACTTCATCTCATGTACTTTGGGGATATTATCAGGAGGGACCAGTTCCTGGAGAAGGACAACATGTTGGGTAAAGTAGAGGGTCATTGAAAAAGAGGAAGATCCCCCTAATGAGACGTATTGACACAGTAGCTACAACAGTGGGCTCAAACATAGCAATGATTGTGAGGATGGTGCAGGATGGGGCAGTGTTTTCATTCTGTTGTGCATAGGGTTGCTGAGTCGGAAGTGACTGGATGGCACCTAACAACAACATATAGTCATTGGGTGTTAATCAAGTTGGATATATTGACATGAGTAGGTCACTATGTGCTTGCTTATATCACTACAACTTGATAAAGAGAGTTACACCTATAGAATGCAAATAGTAGCTATAATACAAATAGAAGGCTTTTTTCATTTAACAACCAGAAAACAGAATGAAAAAGGGAAGGTGGCAGAGCAGTACTTCATCTCCTGATTCCTGGTACATTTTCTGCTCTAAACTGACTTCGTATCATTAATAATGATTTTAAATTATCACTACTATCTTTACCTTGAAAGAACTTTTTTAAAGAATTGTCTTCCCTTTATAACATTTAAACTAGTTTTAGAACAAATTAAGTTCTTAGTTTTTCCAATCGCTAAGCCAAAAAATTTCTGTATTTTATTTTTCCCTCTTATTTTGGGGTTTTTAAGAGTAGCATGATTCTGAAACAGTGTTCCGTTTTTTAAAAAATCTGTTTGATATTTGCAGAAACAAATTGGAGAAACATGGTGGAAACTTCAGATGGGCTGGAAACATCAGAAAACGAGAGAGAGGTTTCCTGTAAGCACAGCACATCTGAAAAACCCAGTAGATTTCCATGCGACACAACCCCTGTTGGTAAGCAGGCATCGCTAGTGACTGCAGGCAGCACTACCTCAGCCACAAACCCTGGAAACTCTACAGCAAGCGACAAAGAGGAAGTGAAGCCAGATGACCTGGAGTGGGCCTCACAGCAGAGCACAGAGACCGGCTCTTTGGATGGCAGTTGCCGAGATCTTTTGAATTCCTCCATCACCAGCACCACTAGTACTCTTGTACCTGGCATGCTTGAAGAAGAGGATGATGAAGATGAGGAGGAGGAGGAAGATTATACTCATGAACCCATATCTGTAGAAGTGCAGCTCAATAGTAGAATTGAGTCTTGGGTCTCAGAGACCCAGAGAACTATGGAAACCCTTCAGCTTGGAAAAACCCTTAATGGTTCTGAGGAAGACAATGCAGAACAAAGTGGAGAAGAAGAAACAGAGGTGCCTGAGCCACTGGAGCCAGGGATGGATGGTGAGGCATGGACTGCTGACCAACAAGCCAGTCGTGAGCAGCAGAAGCCCAGCAACTGCGGTTCGCTGAACAAAGAGCACGCTGATTCTAATTATACACCCCAAAATATGTAACTCAGGAATGTCAGCTATCTATTCCAACCGTGTAAGGGTTGCAGCCATTACCTTTTATGCTTCATCTCAACATTTTGCACTGTTCAGTATTTAATATATGTATTTAATTCCCAACAGAAATATTTTTGTAGCTGTCTTTTACTTGTTTTGTTATAATCTGTAGTTTAGCTTTTAATTAGCATCTTAAATGTCTTTCTAAGAACTATGTGTAAAATTCAGACCCATTTCAGCTTATTTTGTAATGGAAAATAGTGATTAAAAAAAAAAAAGACCAGGTTTTAAAGAAAATAAACTTAAAATGCCTAGACTTATTTTGGAAGATAAAGATGAAGGGTCTAAGGATAGGAGCAGGTACCAGTGTTCAAGGCTTCAAGACTGTGACTCCTTCACTCTAATTTGTCTGGACTATAAAGTTGTTTGGGCTTCTTTAAAAAAGAACTGTAGGTAGAATCAGAAAACTAATAAAAATTAGAAAACTAAAAATTGATGCAACTATTATTTGATTTACAAACGTTTGTTTCGGAAGTCACTAATCATTGTGATAGATTCAAATTGGGCTGGGCCTAACAGAGCCTCCAAAACTTAGGCTAGCCAAGGAAGCCAGGCACTGTGATCAATTGTAACTGGCTTTATTTGTGGAAAGTGGTAGATGTTGTCTGTAATAGTGAAAAGTCACCCCTGATGGGATCTTTTGAAGTTCTGTCTCATATTTGCTTCTTTCTTACCTCAGGAAAGTTCTTGTACATAGTCTTATTTACACAAAACTAGGCAAATTTTGGCAGGTGAATAACTGATCAATTGTATGACTGCAGAACTTACATGTATGCTGTCCAGAAACAAAGCTTTTGTACTGGTGTATTCTCTTGCATGCTTCCGATTTGGGATCCTTTGGATTTGATATATGGCTCTGATTTGAGTATCCGAACTGGTCCCAAGTGAGACAGTTTCATCTTATCTTTAATGTATATTTGTTCCTAGCCTTGAGCACGTTTCACATAACAGCCATAGTTATTGACAGGCAGTCAGGAACAGGAACTTAACTTACTACGTGTATCCTGATAATTCAAGGGTTGGATGAGAAAGTGTTAGAAGAAAGGAGAAAGTTCTAATTGTGCTGAAACTATTAGGTGATCTAGAGTGTGCAGGTATATGTAGGTATTGTTATCACTATTACTTATCTCTTCCCTTCGCTGGGAATGTGTTTGCCTGCTTGAGTGAAATTAAACTTACTGAGCTAAATGTAGTATTTGCTAGTCGGTCACCAGCTGGACTTTAGTGACCTTTACAAGTTTATGTAATGGTGGGAGAATTACAAATTACCTATTTTTCTATCTTCCCTCTGACTGCCCCCCCCCCCAACTGACCACACACACGCATACACACAGCCCAGCTTTCCACTTACAAGCTCTCATAAGCAGACGCAAAACCGAAAATGAAAGGGATATTTTCCCTGCCTGGTTATATGGGGCAGGGCCTTTTCCTCACAGAGGCAAAAGAGGAGAAATGGCCAGATTATTGACTGAGCTCATTGGGACTACTGTGTTAGTTTTTGGTGTTTTACAACGCTGGCATTTAACTGCTAGAGAGCGCAGATTCTTGGTTAATGATTTAGGATTTGTGAATTGTGACAGTTTAAGAGCATTGCTGTGTAGAAAATGTCACTCGGTCAACCTTACTAGCATACCAAGAGGGGACATTATTGTACTGTCTAGACTAAACTATTCTCTATAATAGACTTCTTAGGTACCAAGGATCCAGCACTTAAAGGAGTGCAGTGTGTAAGGAATGAAGCCTCTGAAATAGTAATCATGGATTTATATGTGGCAGATCTTATTGTATCTACATGTTTGGAAGTGTTAGTTGGTTTAAATGATAGAGATTTTGAACTACTGACATTCTTAAAAGTGAATTTAAAAACTTTTCATACTTTTTATGGTGTAAATTTCCTTGACTGAGTGTCAGTAATTCAGATAACTCTTGATCTTGAGGTAATGGCTTTTCAAAGGTTTCTTGTATTTTATATTTCTTCTGAACATGAATTGTCATTTTAGATTTTTGACATTTGTATCAAAAGAAAAGTTCAGGAGATCCTCAGAACACCAGTAACTTTTAATTTTGCTATAGACTTCACAAGTGTTCAATTACATATGTTCGATAAATGCTCTCACAAATGCAGTACCTCTTCGCCAGCAAACTCAAGGGACCACAGCCTTTTTATGTAGGAGCCAGGTCACCTCTAGAGAATACCACAGAATTTAATAAAGGAAATGCTACTATGTTGAGGTATGCTTAAATAAGTATTAATAGTGTCCTTATAATTTGTTTCCTTTAGATAAATTTGGAATTTGTGTATATTGAATGACAGACTTTGGAGGAAGTGTGAAAATTAGGAAAGTGTTGTGAGTTTTTTGTTGTCATTTTGCAAGGTGGGGTGGCTCTTTGGAGACCTAGAAAGAGATCTAATGATAAGAGTAAAGTTTCATCATCACAAGAAATAAAAACCGTGGTGATTTTTTTCTTTGTAGAGATTGTTTTACTGGCAATAATTAATATTAGATTTCTATTTCAGTATATAAGTATGTGAGTTACAGTATGAATTTACTCCCAAAATTAGATTTCTGCTTCAGTAGGTTTGTTTGCTGTGAAGATTATTACTTCTTAAAAGACAAATGTTCATATTAGCTTAATTTTTGGTTTAAATATGTTTGTAAATGATGTAATATATTTCTTTTGACTAAAGATAGAAAAAAATGTGTGTTATACACTGAAAGTTTTTAAAGGCTTTGACTGGAGGTGATTTATGCAGAGAAGGTATTTTATATGCTTCCAGTACTTGGAAAAGAAGTAGTCAAAAGGAATTCACATAGTTAAAATATTGAGAAATTAATATCCAAATAATGCACTTGTCTGATTTCTTAATAAGCTGGGGGAGGTGGGTGGGGTGGGATTATAATGTGCAAATGAGTAGCAAACTCTACATTCATTTTTCAATTCTTCAACACAAAACTTAACACCTCGTTTCTTTAAATATATGTATAAAGAAGTATTGTTTGTAAAGCTGCAGTTTGTTTTAAAAAAAAAAAAAACTGTCTGTGTATTTTCTGTATGTTGGTGCCAACAGGTTAGAACATTAATCCATTAAAAAAGTTAATTTTATTGATTTAAAATTTTTCTATGAAATTATTTACAAACCTCCTCCTCCTCCCTTGCTCCTTCCAATCCTCACATACATTATGAAATCAAACAAAATATCTGCCCGATTGAAATCTGAATTCTAGTTAATGATAAAAATCTAAACTTTGTTGGCACATTACATCTTAAAAGTCTTTGTATTATTTTGTAATTTAATTTCTAAATATACCATGAGTTTATAATTTAATTTCTTAATTGTAATGCTCTGATAAAAAGCTAGCAAAAATTAGTGTGAATTATAACACGAAGGCATTTTCATCTTGTTCTTTCGCTGTGTGAAGGAAGGATAATTGTTATATCACATTCTGGAGATAATAACAGCTTTTTTGCACTATGTAAATACTAGTGGGGATTCTTCTGTAACTAATAAAATGATTATTGAAATGGAGTCTGTCATTTCAAAATAGACTTTTTAAAGAGTCCGTAACTTGAGCACCATGCCGGAGAGAGAAAGCAGGCAGGTCCAGCTCGTGTTGCTCAGTGCTCACGTGACATGCCAAGGAAGGTTGTAAAATCTGTGCAGGAAGTTGTTGATAAAAATCTCCATCTGAGATGGTTGGTGCAGTCTGCAGCATGGGCCCAGTCACCTGGCCAGAGACCATGCTGGGGTTAGAAGGTCCCGCACATTCCTTTCTATACAACCTGCTCTAAAGCCGTTTCCCAAAATTAACTCATTTAATCCTCACAACAACCTAGTGAGCTGTACACTGTTCTCTCTCACTTCAGATGAAGCAGTCAGAGATGGTAACTTTCCCGCCACCACGCAGCTGGTAAATGGCAGAACTGGGATTCAAGCCCAGGCAGTGTGCTGGCCAGAGTGCATGCTTTTAATCACCGCACTTTGCTGTGTCTCAGCGCAGAGTGCTCAGGGTGTGCGAACCAGCTGCTGCTTTCACATTCTCCAGGTGTCTTCTGGCCTGTGAAGTGTGCCAGGACCAAGCTGATAGCCTTGAAGACTGGGTTTATTGGGCCTCACCTGATCACCCTTTCCCTAGAGTTGTCTCAGACCTTGTCACAGTGTCACATGAAATTTAGGGAATCTGGGAAGAACAGGTTCATCTGTTAGGAAATAGGATCACTAATTTTCATAATGAAAAGAAATTGAGTTTTTGGTGATCGCAAAGAAGAGATTCCTCAGTTTTTATTAGATACTTCCTTCTTGACCAGTGTTTGTGCCCCTCCACGGAAAGAGTGCCTGACAGCAGTCTTTTTCTGCTAACTGACCAGAAGAGGGTGTGCATGGCCCCTGAAGACAGTCAAAGGCTACTGTGTGATAGATTTTTTGAAGTAGGGAGAAGAGAAGGAAAGTATCCTGAAGTATGGGCATTGCCATAAAATTGTATAGTTCTGAGTCTGAGCTCAGAACTTGGGGACCAGGGCCATCCCCATGGATATTTGAGAACACCATCAAATGACATTTAAACCACTTGTAAGTAGTTAAGTCATTTGAAATTTCTGCATTATCTTAGCGATGCAATTAATATTTGGCTTGAGTTCAGTTCTCTAATGTTACTGACGTATGAAATGTGACATGGCTTATTACATGAGAGGTCTCAATGGTAACATTATGGGTTGCAGCAATCCGTTTGGGGAAATGGGAGATGTTTCAGTTCTGGACCCAGTCCCAATCCCTGTTCCTCGCACCCTGCTCCTCTCATCTGATACTTTATAGTTACTTGGCAGTCTTAATGTCAAGCAAAGACGTTTTAAAAAAACAAGGTGCTGTCGAGTCAGTTCTAACTCATGGCAACCCCATGTGTGTCAGAATAGAACTGTGCTCCACAGGGTTTTCAGTGACTGATTTTTTGGAAGTAGATGCCAGGACTTTCTTCCCAGGTGCCTCTGGGTGGACTCTAATCACCACCCTTTCGGTTAGCAGCCAATCGAATTAATCGCTTGCACCAAACCAAACCTGTTAATGTCGAGTTGATTCCGACTCATGGCAACACCATGTGTTGCAGAGTAGAGCTGTACTCCACAGGGTTTCAAGGCTGTGACCTTTCCGAAGCAGATCAGCAGATCGCCAGGCCAGGCCGCGGGTCTGTCAAGGTGCCTCTGGGTGGGTTTAAACCACCAGACTTCAGTATTTGAGTGCTTAACCATTTGCATCACCCAGGGACTCCAAAAAGGATCCTTGCAAAAACGGATTGGGCAGCTACGCCATTGTAACTTGGTTGTGCCTGTATCCAAAGTTGCAGCCTGGAAGCCAAGCGTTACAGCAAGTAAGATACTGAGCTGCATGGAATTTGGAGCTCCCAGCTGAGCATGCCGTTCTTTATCCAGTTGAGGAACCAGAGAACGGAATTGTGAGTTGGTGAGCTGTTGTCTGGGAGCTGAAATAGTGTAGATTTCTATGGAAGGAATGAATGCTTCCATCTTGAAATCCTTAGGTGTGGCCATTGCTTTGAATTCCCCAGAGAGAGCAGGTATTAACTATCATGGACTTCCCATCGTGGGACTCTGATTTGAGGCAGTGATAGTTGCACCCTTTTTTACCAGGGGAAGAATGATGTGAGTAAAAATGGTACCTTCTTAAGCGTGCACAGATTCCCTCGGCTGTTCTTTTTATTCTTTGCTTCTCAGTCTTTGCTTACCTGAATTACAGCACTTTGTTTTGTAAACTCTCAGGTTAATGATATAATGAATTGAAATTTAAGCAGTTTGTTAAAGGACAAATATTGTATAAGACCACTATTATAAGAACTCAAGAAAAGATTTAAACACAGAAGAAAACATTCTTTGATGGTTATGAGGGT